ACAACATGGATCATCGGAACTAGTGGAAAGTGAACATCAAGAAAAACAACCACTTCAAAATGATTTTAAAGGTGATATATCTGAACAGATAGAAGCAACGTCAATAAATGAAGAACAAGCTAACACTGATATAGGCACAGAGCCATCAGAGAAAGCTATGCATGTGTCAGATAATAATGATACCGAACTCTTGCCAGAAGAAAATAAATTAGGTACGATCGACGGATCTTATCCGGATAATGAAGATGCAGTCGTTTTTGATGATAATGGGTTAAACGCTGGTGACGCAACAATTTATGATAACAATGGAGATGGTGTTGTACCCAATGATTTGGAGAATGCGTCAAATCTTTCTGTTAAGCAGTCTTCTAAAAAAGAGAATGATCATTCAAATAGCGGGAAATCTCGTTGTATCTTGGTATATGAAGGCAAAGAATTTCCATTGCACGTAAAGTCAAACATATGCTTGGGTGATTGGATGCAAGATCTCAAAAAAGAATATATTCAAGATGAAACACATGATCATGAAGTGGTGTTGACGTTTAAAGATTCAGCCGTTGATGACTTTCGATTAGTTTTGACTCAAGTATGTTTATTATCATATATATACAATGTTGAACCTGGCAACTTTGTAGAACTTAGATGGAAATTTAAACATTTTTATTATAGGACAATAAATATTCACAAAAATTAACTATTGGAAAGATTATTACTACTCACAATAAATATCGAAGGTCGCATGATTTAAATACAACAGATCTTCTTATAATAATGACTTTGCAAGATCGGTTTATTTCACAATATCGAAAATATAATGGTATACAAATTCATAATTAAATAAATAAGAATTCTTTTATTTTCATGCGAGAATTAAGCATTTTATATTCTACTTCAGATGTCGAAGGTGAAGAACCTGACAACCTTGATGTTGATGATAATTATAAATTGGATTATGATAATATATTACCAAAATCCACAACTGAAATGGCACAATTATCTGGGACAGGTAATTCATTTTTTAAACCATCAAAAGATGCCTTTGCAGTATTAAAAGTTATGATGGTATGATTTTTGAGTATAAGGTTTATGCCAGTAGATTTATTTTGAATACATTAGAATACTTTAATTTTATTATAACATAGAATTTCCACAATATGCTGGTGGAGATAATGGAGAAATACCATATATTGATAGTGAAACCTGGAAAAATGGAGCTCAAGGATTCTACGCGGTTCCTCAAATATATCACCAAATTCAAGCGAATGAATTATATGTTAATTCTCAGGGCCCCTACGGAAGTGGCCTAGGGTTATATGATAACATACCATTTGAACAAACTGATTTATATGGCGATACTTTTAACGAATTACTAAATAATTTCGAAACTCCAGCCGAGAATTTTGATGGATCATCGATTTATTATAATCAGACGTTGGATAATTATGGTATTCCAAAAGAAAGCATATATGATGAAACGTTAGACACCAAAGAAACTATATATGATGATACGTTAGAAATAAGTAGTTCTCAGAATAACTCTGAGGTGTTAAATATTGGCGATAAAGCGCCATTTGTAACAGGTCAGACTGAAATCATATTTTCAAAATTATCGTTAATCGTATAATATAAATAAATAAATATCTTTTTCTTTTTTTAGAAAATGAATTTGATCTTTCAGCTATGAATAATGAATCGAAAAAAGATCACCCAATTGCTCTTACCAATGATGAATACCCTGTAAATGAGATAGAAGTTTCTAAAGGAAAACGAGAAAGGACGAGTGATTCCGAAGGTATTACTCAATGTTAAATTAACATTTAATTAGGTTACCAAATGTGCATTTATTGACTTATTATATGACTTATTAGAAGAAGTCAATAAGAAGGCCCGTATAGATTAAATGGTTTGAAATATCTTTTATCACCATATATAAACCTATTTTTTATTTTCATTTTTTTTTTTTGTCACGCCCTTTTGTTTATTTGGGAAAGTGCCATTTGTCACATGATATTCCTTTTACTATAGAGAACCTAGGCACAATCAATGTCTATATTGTTTGATTAAGACCTAACAATTCGCACCCCTATATGCCATCAAAGAAATCAAAGAATCGTGTAATAAATGGCACATTCCTTATTCCTTTCCTTTCCTTTCCTGAAATTTATGGGGTTTTTTTCTTTGTTCATTATTATTACGTAGATTGCCTTTGTTTACGTTTGCGACAACATTTATCTGTTCCTTTTATTCGTGTATATATGATTAGGACTAACGAACGTTAATTTTGCTGCCCTCCGGGCACCAAAAAAATAAAATAACCATAATTCTTATAGTGTGACAAATACATTGATAATATATATATTTACATTTATTATTATTTCTTTTATTTATTGATATTTCTGAATCATTAAGGAATCAATTAATAAAATTCATCAAAATTCGTTCATTTTGTATAATCTAGTTATATAATTAGTATATCTGAAAGTTTAGCCGTGCTATATTATGCTATTTATCACATTACATATCAATAATATAACTTATGTCGTAATCAAATTAAACAAAAAAAGTCTTCGATGGTATGTCACAAGTACACACTATCAGGGATAATGCACTTAGGTGGTACGCTTTAAAAAACTTATATACCGATGCTCCAATAAAATAATGCAATTTAATAGAATAGGGGGGGGGTTTACATATCGGTATTTTATGTTTAAAACGGTTTAATTGTGGTATAATAAATAATTAATTTCGAACAAATCCACTGATAGTTACAGTTTAACCTTAGAAACCTATCAGAATAGCCCCAAAAGTTATAGTTACCGTTACAACTAGGGATGTATGTACGTACGTACGTACCTTAACGAGATAATGGTATGATCTTTGCATCCATTTTGTTACGTAAAAGATAAATTTTGATGAGTAATAGTAAAATCACAACAATCGATGAAAAACTATAATATGCTACGTAACACCAAAAATCCGCTCGAAAAATTGTACTACGTACTTTGTTTTCTATACTATGTTAATAAATAACCTACACCTAACCTTAAAATCTCAAGTCCACTTAAATTCCGTTCTCACTGTCTCGTGATTATTATTTATACTTAATATTGTACCAACGTATATCAATATGAATTTGTCTCGTTCTACTCGTAAAAATGGATCCTATAAAACCCAGAGGTCGCCCGCCGAAAGCTGGAAGCAAAGGAGCGTTTACAAAAGACAGTAAGTTTACTTTTATAGATCTACTTTAAAATTTATTGAATGAAAACTTTATTAATCCTTTTTATATAAAACTAAACAGAAATTATTTTAATACTTTAAGTACGACTTTTAATGTATGGATTTGGAGATGAACCTAATCCAGCAACAGATTCCATAAACGTGATGGAAGAACTTGTTACTGATTATATTACCGAGATGGTATTTAAAATATTTAATTGATTTCTCTAATGTTTTATAATGATTATTTTTAATTAACTAAATTAACAAACTAGTGCCATAAAGCATCCGATGTTGCAAAAGATCGCAAAGTTACTGTTGATGATTTCAAATTTCTTTTGCGGAATGATTCGAAAAAATTAGCTAGAGTTGAAGAGTTATTGCATATGGAGCAAGAGATCAAGAAAGCTAGACAAAATTTTGATGTTAAAGATATTGATGAATAAAAAACCAATATTCTTCGAGGTACATGAAATAATAAATTAAGAAATTTATCTATCACATTTGTCAAAATTACTAATATATACTAATAAAATTTACAGTTTGTGTATTCTATTTTAAACCATTAGTGATTAAAATTTATCCAAATATATGAAATATATGCAAGTTTTTGTTATAATAAATAAATATAAATGTTGATTTTGATGTTGATTTTGATGAATAAAATTGAGTTTTTAATTCATTCAGAGAATCTAACAGTGTTTACAATCTACAAATAATTTAATATTTAAGGAATGCTTTTAGAAAAATATTCAAGAATAATCTATCGTCATCTTAGTTACCTTGAAAAAGCATAGCTTTTTTTTTATTTATTAACTGCAGGATTATGAAAGAGAGTTTTATCACCGTCACCCCATGGAAAAGGCTAATAATTGTGTCGAAAAAGAAGAGATAAGAATTGCAAATAGATACGATTTTGAAACAGATGTTTAGAAAGATACCTTGGTTCTGATACGTTGGTATTGATAAAGGGGATGATCTTCATCTTCATGTTCATGTTCATGCTCTTTGTGAGCTTCGTGTTCCTTCATGATTCTGTATGAATTTGCTGTACCCAAAAGGAGGGCTGGGAGACAAACGTAAATAGTGATATTTTTCCAGGTTTTGGCGGTGCCTATTAATAAAAAATCAATATGGATCGAAAGAATCGATAAATCAAAAAAATTAGATTGAATATTGCTGGTGGAAATTTTTTTTATATAAAAGTAACTATTAGATAGTATCCGAATAAGCATGGATCGAGGAATGAATTACAGTATTATTTTACATGTATTTGCTCATCGTGCCAAAAGTACTACATAAAACGAAAAGTTGATATATAACTCTTTGCATGTTCCTCAACAGCCAAACGTTCTGCAGCAAACGGGGAAAGACCCTCTGGAGTAGCCACTGCAGAGTATTTACGAACAATAGCAGGGATGCGAGGCACAACTTTAGCAATGCGGGTTGCAAAAAGGCGATTTGTCATAGCGAGAATAATAATTTAGATACGTTATGACGTTTCGAAAGTTCATAGAATAGAACTTATATAGTTGCATCTGTTGGATGTTTGATATCATATGATTTACAAACATATTGGTTGTCTAATCAGTTGTCTTGTTGAATATCAAATAGCATGACGTAGTAGTGACGTACATACATTGAATTATATAGTCAACAACCCTAATTTTATTAAACCCTGTTTCCAATTACATAGAAGATAAACCAATTTCAAAGTTGATTATGGATATATCCTATAAAGTATAAATCAGTGTTATGTATTATCTCTTTGTATGCAACAGTAATTTAGTTACTACATACTGTATGGCGGAAAAGTATTCTCTTCATTAAAACACATTCAAGATTTGAATAAATTACAACTAAAAGTAAATTCTGTGATCTCAGTATATAACCCGAATCATTCTTTCTTTAAACGAGATTTGGATTATTTGTTCACATTTATTCTATCTATATAACTGAATATTTATCCTATTATTCAACTACTAAGAAACGTGAACTTTTTTTTTCAATGATGTAAAATAACCTCAATATATAACACACATGGGTCATAATCTTATGTGCACATCTTTGATATACTATTAAATTTAATGTGATGTGTGTCAAATGTCTGAAGCATACATATAAGGACAAAGATAGAAGTAAATCCATAGAAGTAAATCCATAGAAATGGGATTTTTTTTAGTATA